CATAGCCTGTGAAGGACAGAGCTGGGATTCTATCCCAGAGAGCTCAGCTCCAAAGTCTGCCCTATTATCTTCTGTTGTACTGCTTTTCAAAGCACATGCACAAGAACCAGATCCCATTTACAGGTGACAAAGTGAGGCCGAGAAGACTGAAAGGGTGTGCGGCCTGAAGTCAGAGCTGCTTGCCCTGTCCACATCTACTCCCCGAGGGCTGTCCACTGGCATCCTGCGTCTGCCCCCACCCCCACCTCCTGACGCCCAGGCTAAAAGTGGCCTTTCTTTGCTGGGTAGCCCAGGGAGCCAAGTGTCCCGGCCTATCTGGAAGAGGCTATGTGAGTCCATCTGCCAGGCCCTTTGGAGGAGGTGCCATAGGGGATGCCCCTGCCCGCAGCGCCCAGAAACCTCCTGCACACACCAGGACGGCCAACGCATTCCACTGACTGGGGTCCGGGGACCAGGGGCGGCAAAGCCGGGGCATCTGTTCACAGCATCCTCGACTGATGGCACTCTGAGGGGCTGGGGTGGGGTCTGGACACTGAGGGACGCCAGTGCAGACCCTTCCCTGGAGCGTTGTCCTTTCCTTGGGCTCTTCAGGCTGCCCTCATGCATCGAGCACACCTTGTGCACCTCCAATGTGTCAGGCACTATTCCAGGCACTGGGGACGCAACAGTGAGCGATGCAGACCAAATTCCGGGCCTGGCAGAGTGCAGTTCCCTATAGGGAGACAGACATTGGGCAAACAGTGGCCAGACATCTGAGGAGCACGGGGCTCTAGGCGAGGGCACAACCTCAGGGTCTTTTTGGGTTTTTTTAAGATTTTATTTATTTATTTGAGCGAGAGAGAGACAAAGATAGTGACGGAGAGCACAGAGAGCGGGGGGCGGGGTGCAGAGGGAGAGAGAAGCAGGCTCCCCACTAAGCAAGGAGCCCCATGCGGGACTCGATCCCAGGACCCTGGGATCATGACCTGAGCCAAAGGCAGACGCTTAACGACTGAGCCACCCAGGGTCTTAATCAAAGAAGGAGTGTGTGGGGCTGGGGGTTAGGGCAGCCATCCCCTGAGGCGAGCGGAGTGGAGGAAGGGAGGGGTGGTGTGGAGTGGTCCTTGGCCCCACCCCACAGCCCTCCTTGAGGGAACCTGCTGCCATGAAAGCCGCTCAAGATGTCGTCACAGTTGCCCCTGGCCAGTGCCTGCTTCTAGGGCTGGGGGAGACGGGAGGGAGGGGCCCTGGGTTCTGCATCTCTGGTCCTCAGCTCCATTCCTCGTCAGGGTCCTGCGTTGTGCATGCGGGCGAGCCCTGGCAGGCCACGGGGTGAAGGAAGCCGCCGGGGCAAGAAGCTGCTGGTAGGACATGTGTCATTCCGAGAAACGGTTTCGGAATGAAACATTTTCAGATTGACCAAGAGCCAGGGTCCTTCGCAAAGCACCTCTGAACAGAGGTTTTGAACATAAATCGTGAAATTACCTTTTCCTAGCGAGGAAACCCTAGAAGGGCTGAGGCCAACCTGCCCGCTCCCGAGGACGCTGGTGACACCGGCCGCAGCCCTCCCTACGTGGGTGCCACCTGGCCCGCAGGCGGCCAAGGCGGTGTGCGCTGCTTGCCCACTACCAGGCTGCTTCTGGAACACCCTCGTTGCCTTCGCTCAACATGCTTCTGCCGCATCGGGGACTCTCCCTGTGGAAAAGAAACCCCAGCACTCGGGGTGGCGAGGCTGTGATTTCCAGTTTCATTTTCCAGTTTCCACTCCCCATGCCCCAGGTCACCACGGGGGGGCGGAGGGCGGGGGGAAGAAACGTGTTCCTACCAGCACCTACTCCCTGGGGCTGCCAGGGGGCGGGGACTGGCCGAAACCCCTGTACTGGAGGTTGTTAAAATTCAGATTCCTGGCTCCCCAGTCTCTGAGGTGGGAGCACGGCTGAGGTGCATTCCCTCTCGAAGGCTCCTCCTGGCGGGGGGCCTCCCCTTCCCTAGTTGCTGTTCAACACATTTCGGATGTCCGTTTTCTAGGACTAGAGGCCTATAGGAAGCCCAGCTTATGGTCTTCACACAAGCGCCTCTCTTCCCCATATTCCAAATTCCTCTTGAAGATGCTAATTTGTGATAGGCATTAATAGAAACCAAGCAAGCAAGAAAAATTCTATTAAGAGCCTTTAGGTTCTTTCGTTCTGTCCTTTGCTCCATTTATTTGCAATTTATAGCCTATTTAATTCCAAAAAGGCTGTAAGGACACATATCTGGGGTTTTTTTTTCCGCCTCCTTAGTGTGTGTGTGTGTGCGCGCGCACGTGTGTGTGTGTGACCGTATGTGAGGTGGGCCTTCTAATGTACCCTTGCCCTGGTTTGACCTCGGAGGGAGCAGGTGGTGAACTCCCCAAGTCTGGCAGATGTAGACCTTTCCTAATCTCTAGGGCAAATTTGTTCTTCAGTGTTTCTAGTATCAGTTTTTGATCAATCATTAATCAAAGTTGCAATAAAAAGATAATCTTCTCAGGACTGGGCTGTAAAGATCCTGGCCGAAACCTTAAATAAACCCTTCGGTGGAAGCCCCAAAGCGAAGAAAGAACGGTCTTATGTCTGGGGCTGCATTTGGAGGCGATGAAGTCGCCATCTCTAATCAGGGGGTACAGACATGAACTTCAGTCACCTGAGTGGCTGGGGCCTCTTGCTTCATTTTTCACTGCTCATGAAGCTGGCCAAGCCCCGGCTCCTAGACCAGGTGGCAAAGGTAGGGAAGGAGGCTGCCGCTGGGCCCAAATGTGGGGGCTTGGGGGCACATCCCTAGGATGTGACAGCTCTGGGGCCAGGCCAATGGCAGGGGAAGCAGCGCAGCCACCGTGGCCCGCCCACTAGCCCACATGGTGGAGGGAGCCCCTCTTGCCCGCTAGCTGCGTTCTTCCCTGTGCACTTAGAGCCGCAGGGCACCGTGGTGCCTGGCTTGGAGCTGGAGGCCCACTTCTCGTGGGAGGAAGACAGGAAGCAGCTGCTCCTCCACAGGGCCCCGCCAGGGCCCAAGGCTGTGGGGCCCTCACTCCTCTTGCAGCTCCTCACAGTGGAGAGGGGGGATGTGCTCTTTGGGGCACGAGGTCACAGGTTCCTGGCAGGCTGCCGAAGTCAGATCTACGGGCTAGAATCAACAGGGATAACGTGAGGCCCAGCCCCAGGTCCAAGAAGCAAGGACAACAAGGCAGAGCATGGGGCCCTGGGCAAGTGCAGCCTGGACCACCAGACTCAGGGCTTCAGCAGCCGGCGGCTTTCACGGGACTCGCAACAAGTGTGTGGAAGCTGAGAAGGGGGGAGAGGCACTTGCCGTTCTCTCCGACCCCTCCCAACACATGACTGGTCCCACTCTCGTACCATGTTTTCAGGAACACAGAGGAAATGGGCATTTTCAGAGAAGTGTCACCCTGGAGGTGCAGGGGGTGGTGAAATCAGGTGTGAGAAATTATTCCAAGAACTGATGACCAGAACAGGAATAGACTTGTCCTGGGTAGTACAAAGGGAGGAAGCAGCATCAATGGGAACAGCTGAGAGATGCATGTGAGGAAGAGACTTCCCATGGGTGGAATGTGGTCTCCAAAGATAGACAGATAGATATACACACACACACTTTTTTTTTTTTTTTGAGAGAGAGAGAGAGAAAGGAAAGAGAGGAATAGAAAGGTACACACCTCAATTTTAACAGTAGCTATCTCTAGCTGGTATGATTTAAATTTTTTCCCCTTGTGCTTACCAACAGTTTTTTTTTTTTTTTTAAGGTTTTATTTATTTATTTGACAGAGAGAGATACAGCGAGAGAGGGAACACAGCAGGGGGAGTAGGGGAGGGAGAAACAAGCTCTCCGAGGAGCAGGGAGAACGATGCGGGGCTCGATCCCAGGACCCTGAGATCATGACCTGAGCCGAAGGCAGACGCCCAACGACTGAGCCACCCAGGCGCCCCTTACCAACAGTTTCTAAAATGTTCATAATACACCCAAATTACTTTCTTTTTAATGTGGTAAAACATACACACATAAAATTTACCATTTTAACCATTGTTTTCTAAAAAGTTTTATTTAGGGGCACCTGGGTGGCTCAGTCGTTAAGCGTCTGCCTTCAGCTCGGGTCATGATCCCAGGGTCCTGGGATCGAGCCCCGCATCGGGCTCCCTGCTCCGCGGGAAGCCTGCTTCTCCCACTCCCCCTCCCCCTGCTTGTGTTCCTGCTCTCACTGTCTCTCTCTCTGTCAAATAAATAAATAAAATCTCTAACATAAATGAATGAATGAATGAATGAATGAATGAATAAATAAATAAATAAATAAATAAATAAATAAATAAAAAGTTTTATTTATTCAAATAATCTCTACACCCGTGGTGGGGCTTGAACTCATAATCCTGCGATTAAGTCACATGCTCCTCCAACTAAGCCAGCCAGGTGCCCCCATTTCAACCAGTGTTAAGTGTGCAATTTAATGGAGATAAGTACATTCACATTGTCATGTAGTCGTCACTACCATTCAGCTCCAATATTTTTCTGTCGTCCTCAACATAAACACCAAACTCATCAAACTAATTCCCTCTCCCCCTCCGACTACCAGGCGCCGACAGCCACCATTTCACTCTCTATTTCTAGGCATTTGACCACTCTAGCTACTCCCTATAAATGAGAGGCAATACAATATTTGTCCTTTTGTGTCCAGCTTATTTCACTTCTTAGCATGATGTTTTCAAGGTTTATCCATGCTGTACCATGTGAGAGAATTTCATTCCTTTTTAAGACTGAGTAATATTCCATTTTGTGTATATACTACATTTTGTTTATCCAGTCATCTGTCAATGGACATTTGGATTATTTTTCCTTTTTGGCTATTATAAATAATGCTTATATGAACATGAGTATAAAAACACCTCTGAGTTCCTGCTTTCAATTCTTTGGGTATATTTCTAGAATTGGACTTGCTGGATCATATGGTGATTCTATGTTAAATTTTTTAAAAATATTTTATTTATTTATTTGAGAGAGAGAGAAAGAGTGAGTGAGATAGCACAAGCAGGGGGAGTGGCAGGCAGAGGGAGAAGCAGGCTCCCCACTGAGCAGGGAGCCGGACAGACGGACGAAGGGCTCGATCCTGGAACTCTGGGATCATGACTGAGCCGAAGGCAGACACAACCAGCGGAGTCACCCAGGTGCCCCTCTATGTTTAATTTTTTTCAGGAAACACCATACCATTTTCCACAGCAACTACACCATTTTACATTCCCACCAGCAATGCACTGAGTTCTAATTTCTCCACACTGGCCCACACTCGTTATTTTCACACACCTAAAGGGTATGAAGTCATATCTCATTATGGTTTTGATTTGCACTTCCCTAATCCAAATTACTTATTTTTTAATCTAATTCTGTCTGAATCAAATCCTGAATCAAAGCCTTTGTCCTTTATTTCTTGATAATATGGACCTTTCTCTCTTATTCCCCTTGTCTGTATTTATTCTTTGCATTCTTTCTATTCTTTTAAAGTGTGGTAAAATACACGTAACATAAATTTTACCATCTTAACCGTTTGTAAGCATATCGTTCAGTATTCTTAAGTAAATTCACATTGTTATGACGTAATCCAAATTACTTTCATCATGATAAAAAGAAACAAAAGTCTATTTTAAAAAAAAAAAAAGAAACAAGCAAGCAAGCAATGATTCTCAGCCCACGGAGACATTCACACACTTCAGCTCAGTCTTGGCGAGAGTTTACATTCATCAACTAAGTACCTGTGATGAGCGCTCAGGGCTCTGTGCTGGGCAGGGGACTCTGAGGGGAGTGTGATCTGGGTTCTGCCCTTGGATTTCATCCTCTGTGCAGAGCAGTTATAACCAAGGCTGTTCTGGGCCGAAAGGGCTACCCTGTCGGGCGATGCAAGGTGGGGTAGGTGGCACAGATGTGGTGACACGTGGGCTGAGGCCTTGAAGGACACGCGGGCGTTTGCAGGTGCAGAGAGGACGTGGCCCATGCTGTTGGCTACGGCTGCGCTTATCCCCACCGCCATTACATAAGGCCTTGTTAATACTTTGTCTTCCCTCCTCAGCTGGAAGCTTCATGAGAGCAGGGCCAGGGGTCTTGTGTGTGAAGCTCAGCACAGGCAGGGGTAAAAGGAATACCTGCTGAGTAAGTCCTGAGGAGGAGGAGGAGAGAGGCGCTGTCTCTGTCCAGAGTCTCGGCTGGGAGAGGCAGACAACGTGGCGGACTGCATGGGGAAGGGGCGGGGGGAAGCATGACACAGACAATGTTGGTGGGAGCACGTCAAACACTGCACCATGGCAGCCAGTGGAGTAGAATGTGAAAGGGGAGAGGCTGGGATGCACGCTCAAGGGGAGTAGAGGGGTCTCTCTTTTTATGAGACTCAGAGGGCCAAAGACAGAACATGCCAGTTGTTGGCAAGGATGGGAAGCAACTGGAGCCCTTGCACTGCTAGAGGGGCTTCTCCCCATTACCATCCCAGGCTTCAGATAGCACTCTGATCGCTGCTTGGTGCAGACTACCATTTGTGCCAATCAAGAGAACACCGAGATCTGTACTTAGACCACCAGACACGAGAGGTTCTATGTCCAGAGTAATTTCCAAGATGGGCCTGAATCCATGGAACATGGCACAACGAGGAGTCCAGAGCTGGTTCCGTGCTCACCAGTCTCCCAAAGGTCAACTTTGCCCATGTGCCTCCATCTCACGTCACACCGCTAGAAGACTTGAGTCCACAGAAGGTGGACCATGCTCTTTTCAAAGAACATGTGGACAGGCACTGACAAGGTTGTCCCCCTGCTTCCCAAGCCCTGGACACCATGGTGAATTCCATCAGGGTGTTGGGAGCCCCTCTGCCTAAGGGGCCTTTCTGCACACCCAGCCAGGCACCAGCATCCTAGTCCCCTGCTGGTGGTCCGACTCCGGACTCACTGCATAGAGCTCCTCACCTACTAGATGTGGGGCACATGCCAACAGGGAGCCCACAAAGGGTAGCTCTGCTTGACACCTGCACAGCTCCAGTCTGAGGGAAGGAAAATGCTGACTTGGTGTGTGGTCTGTATTTTTACTGCATCTTCCTTTTCAAGTCGGGGCTTGTTGTCACTGAGTTACCAAATGCCATTCTACCCACTGTTGGGGAGCGGAGACAGGTGCTCAGCAGTCCCCGGGGTGAGAGTGCAGTCCAGGGTGGGGGATGAGATGAACCCGATGATGCAGCCTGGACCCGGTACAAAGCAGTGTACAAACAGAAGCCCCACTGCATGGTCTCACTCTAAGTGCTGCACGAGCTCAGCAGGGTGAGGGGGCCCTGCAGGGGTGGGGTAGCCAGGGAAGGTCCCAGAGCAGGGCCCCCACGGTGGGGAGCAGAGGACAGAGGAGACCGTCACAGGTAAGAGAAGCAACAACGGGGACCTCTATGCAAACATGCAGAACTCTAGACCTGGCCAGGCTTGGACCCACGTGGGAGAGCCTCACTGGCTGCCCTTTCACCCAGGAGAAAGGCCACAGATGGCAGGCCTCGCTCAGCCCCACCCAGGCCCCTGTCACACATGTTCCACTGTCCCCAGGCTGACCACAACCCCCACATGAGCTGTGTCCTGTTCGTGCTGGCCTAGAAACCGGGAAGTACCTGGCATGTGGCCCCTCCACTTCCTCCACATGATTGCCTAGGGCTCTGAGGGGATCAGCAAGGGATCATTTTTGTGGTCAGGAAATGTCTGTGGCAGCTGTGGACACCACAGGCCCTCTCTGGGCCCTTTGGAGGGGGAGCTACGTTCCCAGAGAGTTGCAACTGCCCCAGGTCCATGAGGTTCCCTCAGATCCAAAATACTCCGAGTTCAAGGGCAGGACATTGAGCAACAGAGCAGCAGATACTAACTTGTGGTTTAGTTCAATGGTTTTCAACCTTGGCTGCACATAAGAACCACCTAAGGAGCTTCTTAAAAATATTCGTGTCCAAATACTTCAACAGGCACTTTGCAAAGAGGGGATCTAAATGGCTAAGAAACATATGAAAAGGTGCTCAACTGTATTAGTCATCAGGGAAATGCAAATTAAAACCACACTGCCATACCATTACACACCCACCAGAATGGCTAACATGAAAAAGATGTCAAATACCAATCACCAGCAAAGATGTGAAGCAACCAGCACTCTCACCCGTTGCTGGAGGGGTGCAGATGGGTACGGCCACCTTGGGAGATCATTAGGCACAAGGTACGAAAGTTGAACGCATTCATATCCATACCTGCCCTGGCAATCCCACTCCTCAGTATGCACCCAACGGACATGCATACAAATGTGCTCTGAAAGACGCCACGGGAATGCTCATCGCAGTAGTAGTCATAACTACCCCAACCCGCCCCCAAAACCCCAAATACCCAAATACCCAGCAACCGTGATATCCACACGGTGGAATACTCTATATCAATGAGAACGAACGGACTACAGCAACTATAAGCAGCAGCTTGCGTGAATCTCACACACACAATGTTGAGTGGAAGAAACCAGACACAAAACCCCAAATACTGTATGATTCCCTTTATATAATATAAAGCTTGAAAACAGGCAAGACTCATTTCTACCTTTAGAAGTGAGAATGGTGGTTACCCTTCAGGGCACCAGGGGACGTTGGTGATGTTCTGCTTCTTGACCTGGACGCTGGTTACTTCGGGTAACCCGGGGTTCGCCGAGTGAAAATTCACTGAGATTTACACCTCAGGTTTGTGGTGGTGGTGGTGTTGCTTGTATGTGATCCTTCAATACACACTTAGGTTTTTGTTTTTGTTTTTTAGCCCAGATCAATTCAGTTGGTATCTTTGGGGTGAGAGTGAGGGACAGGCATCCATATCTTTTTAATATCCTTGATGACAGCGGTGCCCCGCCAGGATCGAAAGCCACTGGCTTAATTTCTTGGGAGGAGGCGATCTGCTCTGGTCCGCCGCAGAAGGTGCTTCGCAGCCTGGCGGGGTGAGATACCAGGGCGGGAAGAGGTCCATCCTGGCTGAGGTGAGCAAGCCTTGCGCACGGGCAGGGGAAGTGCTGAGCACGCTGTTGTAATGTGCTTCTTCCCCGGTGGTGTCTGATGAAACCTGGTTGCATCAGTCCATAATGGTGTGAAATGACAGCAAGGTGGACCCCAGCCCCGCCCCAGGCGAGTGGCTTTGTTGGCACAGCTGGGGCCGTTTTTAGAGAGGTGGCAGCTGGGCTTCCCCAGGATACCACCCAGGCCGGAGGCACTGCTGAGGATGTGACAACCGGGGAGAGGGTGTTGTAGGCCCCACGGATGTCTGTGTTTGTGGGTAACAGTCAACTCTGGGCTCCAGATGACACCTCGACTCCCTGGCCTCTGGGTCCAGATTAGGAACTTGCAACATCTTGCTGAGGATGGCAATGTGCTGGGTTCAAGTGCCCAGGCTGAGAATGTTCCTTCCTCTCTTTGTGGTTAGAGGCAGCCACCCCAGCAATGGCCACCGCCGGCGTACTCTGGCCCACAACAGGCAGCTTGGATGGGAGAAGACAAGACACGGGTTTACGTGCTACCCAGGAGCTCTGCCCTCCCGGGCCTCATCCCCCATGTGCACAGACCATGAACCTGCTGCTGTGGGAAGGACTCTGCTTCCCTTAGAAGCTTCCCCAGCCCTTCAGGGCCCTCCACTATCCAGCCACGGGCTGCCCCTTGCGTCCATGTCCCTACATGTCTGCCTCATGGCATCATGTCTGCAGAGCAGGAGTGAACAGGAAGGGGCCTGGGGCCTCTTGCAACTCTGCTGGGTGGGACGCTGGGGGGGCCTTGGCTGAGCTCCCTTGGCCGAGGGACACAGAGTAGCGTGGGCTGGAAGAGGACAAGCTAAACTGATAAAGGCTACATCACTGGAAGGTAGCCAGGTTAGAAACAAACCTGTCTTCAACTGTCTAGTCCCCATTCCCCAAACTAAAAAAAAAAAAAAAAAAAAAATCCCGAGGAGTGAAAGAAGCATGAATAAGGAAGCCAGGGTGTAAAGACAGGAGTGTCTCTCCACCGAAGCTGTCACTTTCCACTTCTCTGGCTCTCGTCTCCCCCCTGGGCAATGGGGGTGATGCCCCAGGCCTTTCCTCCCTGCCCAGGAGGGCTGAGGGTTCGTGGCTCTGCCGGAGTGGCCCGTGGGACACTGTGCCCAGGGCTGTGTCCATGCTGCCCCTGGCTGGGGCCTCGGCGCCCATGTGCCATCTCACCTCCCTCCTCTGTGAAACGCCAGGCGGCTCGCCCTGCCAGCCAGAGAGCCGCTACCCCTTCCTGTTGTCTCCTTGACAAAGCACTGATGAAATGTTTCCTTTTCACGCTTCAGGAAATGGGTGGCCAAGAAGAGTACTTGATTCTGCTTTTTCCCTAGAGGTACGCATGCTTCAAAGGGCTGCACAAATTAAACCAAAACTGAGGTCTGACTAGGCCGGGAGAGCGAGGAGGCAAGAGAATCCATAGAGTGTTCCCAGCAGGGGAGTCGTGCAGGCCGATCTTGGAGGTGGCTGGAGGACAGCTGGGCTTCGGGCGCTCCTCCTGGGCGTGAGATGTGATCAGGGCCTAGGCTGTGGGCCTCTCTAGGCTCCGAGTTATCCGCATCTAGGGAACAAGCACACGATACTCCTCGGAGCAAAAGCATCAAGGAGGCCCCTGAGCTGGAAACACACAGGCTTCGTGGGTTTGACCTAAGGGACTCCTAATGTCAGACCTAGGGGAATCCCACCCAGACATGGCCTGGATGTCCCCCAAACCTACACTTCACCTTAAAGACCCAAGAAGGATCTGTTGTTCAGGAAGGTATTTCTTCATTTTCTGAAACTGTGGACGTTTTCTGGTCATATGATTTCTGAAAGTCATTATATACTCTGTCTCCTGGTTTCCTTTTATTGACAGGCTTATTTTCCTCCTCAAAACACCAGTAAGTAATATTCCCCCATATGGAGAAGTCACTAATCCAGTACCTTCTATCTTGCATTATAGTTAAAAACTCGAAAGTGAATTTTTTAAAAGCCCCTGTGTAGTCCAGAGATGTCACAAAGCTCATACAAAGAACTGGGAGGGTTTCTCTCAGGGACTATTCTTGTTTTAGATGCAAATGAGAAAAAGTTTCTGTATCGTCAGAGTCCCAGTGGGAAACAGATACATGCTGCACAAGTAACCGAGGAGAGCTCAAGGAAGGACTGTGTACAGGGTGAGCAACACGAAGGGAAAGGACAAGGGCAAGAGAAGCCCTCTGAGCCAGCAACATGGGGGAGCTGGTACCCGCAGCCTGAAGGGAGGAGGGCAAGGGAGAGGTTAGAGCAACCTACGCAGGGCTGGAGGAGAGGGCTGCTGTGGGGCTTGTGGCTTTAGGGTGAAGAACACAGACCCTGCTGACCCGAGGCGTAGCAAGAGAGGGAACTAGGGGGATAAAGCCCCCTAAAGCACCCCGCCATTATTCTCCAACCTGCTGAAGGGGTCTTCCGTTGGCCAAGCCCAACTGGAAGCAAGACGCCATGGAGCCTGGTTGATGCAATCCATGAACGTCAAATGTGGGAAGGAGTGAGGAAGGGTAGGAAATGGGTGGGGACGGGGCAGTGGGGGGGGATACCCTGCACAGTCGTCTGGTTTAGTCACTTCAGGAGGAGTAGATTGGAAGTTAATGTGCTGTAATGTGGCACCGTCCCCACAAATGAATGGGACGAGAGGCGGCCCGAGACAGAGCGACCAGGAGGAAAGGCTTACGGGGTTTTAGCACCGTGATCCCAGTCCCCATCGTGGAGGGACAAATTGCTCTACTTAGCTTCATAATTCCAAGGTAAACATGTACACTCATAAAGATGACGCTGAATTACCAGCCAAGGGTTAAATGCAGCCACTGCACTACTTAATAGAGCTTTAACTGGGCAGGGAAGATCATAACACACTTGAGAGACGTGCCTCCTTCCGAAAGAAGCACAACAGGGCTTCCAGTTAAAGACATCAGGTCACTCACATGTCCCCGTCTTCTTTCTCTCCTGAAGTGCCACTGAAATGCCAGTCAGGAGATAAAATGGTATATTGGGGAGAGGGGTGAAACAGGTGATGGGGATTAAGGAGGGCACTTGTGATGAGCACGGGGTGACTTATGGAAGTGTTGAGTCACTACATTGTACACCTGAAACTAATGTCACACCGTATGTTACCTGACTGGAATTTAAATAAAAACTTAAAAAATAAATAACAAATTAAAAAAGAAAGAAAAAAGGAAGAAAACGGTATCAACCCTCAAGAGCAAAGAGAATGGTGAAGGAGACACGGGTGGATGAGATTTGAGTAGACTCCAGGAAGCTGGAAAGCAGATGGAGGAATGATGGCTGCCATGGAGGAAGCTAGTCTCCTAGGGCCTGCGGACGGGGATGCTGACAGGAGGCCAGCCCCTTCACCCCCGGGACCCTGGAGGAGCTCAGACCTCAGGGAAATTTGGGATTATGATGGTGGGGGTCAGGCATAGGAGGCAGTGGGGTAAGGAATCAGGGAAATCCTTCTCGGACCCACCCCACGCTCTGCCCCATGAAGCACAAGACTAAAGATCCTGAACAGGAGAGATGGAGGCAGAAGAGACGGCGGATGAATGCAAGGATGCAAATGGGGGGCGAGGGCAAAGTCTGAAGACTGAACAGTGAGCTTCAACGTCTCCATGCCTCACACCCCACGCTGCCCCAGGCATATATCACCCTGTTCTGGAGTGTGGGGAATTTAAAACATGGCTGCGAGTTTTTTGGACACATCTTCCATTGAGAAGTGGGTGTCGGTCTCCTTCCCTGACGGTGGGTGGGCCTTGTGACTACAGTGGTAAGTGATGCCATGTGACTTCCAAGACCAGGCCATAAAAGACCATGCAGGGCCCATATTGCTGGCCGGAGCATTCACACTGGAGCTCTGAGCTACCACATCAGAGATCCAACTACCGGGCTGGATGCTAGAGACGCTGTGTGCCGTCTCTCCGGTCACCAGTCCCAGCTGAGCCCCGGCTTCCGGCTATCGCTGCCAAGTGAAGAACCATCTGGGAAGTGGATCCTTCAGCTCCAGCTGGTCCAAATCCCAGCCACTTGAGCCTTTGGTCATCTCCGTCACCCCAACCTGGGCTCCAGACATTGTGGAGCTGTGCCTTTTCTGAATTCCTGACTTGTAGAATAATAAAATGGCTGTTGTTTATGCTGCTAAGTTCTGGGGTGGTTTGTTATGCAGTAATAAGTAACGGGAACAAGGAGTCAGAATGCTTCTCTTGAGAAGGGGAATGGCTTGAGTAGCAGTTCTCAATGGGGTGATCTTGCCCCCCAGGGGACATTTGGCAATGTTTATAGACATTTTTGGTTATCACAAGTCTAGGAAAGGCATCTGGAGGTTCAGTGATGCTGCTAAGCATTCTACCATGCACAAGAGCCCCTGACAACAAGCAATTATCTGTACTAAAATATCAATAGCACCAAGGTTGAGAAACCTAGCTCTAGAGAACAGAGTTTGACATTTAGAGGCTTGTTAACGAAAAGACTGGCTTGCTCCCTGTAGCAAAACCCCAGCTGATATGTTGTCCCCAAACATACAGTTTAATTCAGGTTTTTATTGCTTCATTCATAAGTATCAACAGACAGCCAGGATATTTGGCATTCGAGAAAAGCCTCCAACATGAAAGAGAGAAAACAAACATGCAAAAGGCAGCTAGGTGGAAACAAAGATAATAAAAGAGAATAGAAGAATATTAAAACAAAACAAATAGAAGAAAAATAAACAATGCCTCTTCAGAAAGGTAAGAGGGCAAGGGTATATCGATAAAACAAGAATATGGTCCTATGAAAAAAGGCATGGAAGACAAGAATGAATAATTGTATATTAAAAATATGAAAGCCAAAATTAAAACAACACCAGCAGCAGGGTTGGAGGATAAAGTCAAGTCAAGTTGCCCAAGAAAGGAGACCCAAGGGCAAAGGGCAGGGAAATAGAGAAAATCCAAGAAAATCAGAACGAGTAAATCCAGTAGGTCCAATGGGTAAAATAAAGGGGAGAAAATTATCAAAGATGCAAAATTTTTTTCCTCCAGCGCTCAAGGACACACAACACACTACTTAGCTCAGCAGTGAAGAATACCTCTACATTCACTACTGGGTTATATTCTTACTGGGAAATGGGGGGGGGGGGGAGAACTGGAAGTGGCTTCGTAGGAAAACTCAATTTTTGTCTCCCCCAAGAAGTGAACAGATGTCTAAAATTGGTAAATCAAGAAATAATAATATAAGCAGAAATAGAAACTAATGAAAGAATTGAAAGAAGAGGCTAGCTCCAGAGAGAGCGGGACTGAGGAAGCTAAGGGAGGGGGTTTTTATTATGAGCCTCTCGTACTGTTGATATAGAAACCATATGCAGGCATTATTTTGATCAATGTGATAAAACAGAAATTAATTTAAAATGAGTACAGTTAAAAATTGCAATGCAGGGCGCCTGGGTGGCTCAGATGGTTAAGCGTCTGCCTTCGGCTCAGGTCATGATCCCAGGGTCCTGGGATCGAGTCCCGCATCGGGCTCCCTGCTCCTTGGGAGCCTGCTTCTCCCTCTGCCTCTCTCTCTCTGTCTCTCATGAATAAATAAATAAAATCTTAAAAAAAAAAAATTGCAATGCAATGGGATTAAGTTTGATTATTTGGAGAAGTCACTTGCATGGATGAGCCATGCCCCAAGAATGCTCAATAAACTGGCACCCCGTTAACATGGGGGGTTTCTCCCAACCTCATTGGCCAGGGAAGGCAGTTGGTGCGTGGGGTGGGGGCGGGGCCGGAGCTGGCACAGCAACCCCAGAGCGGTCACCGTCACTGGCTCCCTTTCCCAGCTGGCTGTATTGGCTTGGGAGACCCTGCTCTTGAGTGTGGATCCGGCCAGGGAGCCAAAGAAGAGAGGAGCTGGTCATCCTTTGAGGAACTGAGGGACTCACGAGGACTTCCTGCCTCTCCTACTCTGGGCCTGGACAAGATGCTGGGTTTCTGAAGGCCCAGGGCCCCTCTGCTGATGTGCTCAGCGGCCAGAGGGGGCTACACACACTCATCCTCATCTCCCAGGACAGATGGGCCTTGAGTCACCATGTCTCCTGCCAGGAGCTCCCCAGGAGGGGCCACAGTGGGGAACATGCCTGTAGGGGCTTGAGCCTTACCTTCCAGTTCTTTCCTTCACCCACTGCCCTTCCTCTTCCCCCCCTTCCTGCCTCCCCCCATCCTCCCCTGCCCTGGGGGCTGCACAGTTGGTTTGCCTGCCAAATGCCCGGCAGGTTTTTTTTTTTTTCTTTTAACCTTTTCAATTGTTACTTCCTTTTAAAAATTACATCACGATGAAAATAAGTAACATGTATTCCTTGTAGAAAAATAAGAAAATTTTGAAAATCACCCACCATTCTACCAGCCAAATAAAACCACTACTTGACTATGAATTTCTAGAACGTGTCCAGGCTTATACACAAGTAGAAATACTACTGGTTCGCACCTCATCCGGGCACCCATCTGCTGAGCACTCAACACAGGCGGGACCCTGTGCCCAGGCCTTTAGATGTGTTAATGCCTACCAATTCTTGCACCTCTGCAAGACTTGTGTTATTATGCCCATTTTACTGGAAAGAAGTAGGAGCCTAGGGAGATCTCACTTGCCTGACTCTCACACGGGTTAAGAGACTGACCTGGATTTCAACCCTCCAGCCTGTGTCCCAAGCCACTTGCTTTGCATGTTTGCTGAGCCTTCTACATTTCTTTTTCCCTTTTTTTCTTTAACTTAGCAATATATGCAAACATCTTTCTTGCCTGTAAGTATACACCTAGGTCATTCTGCTGTATGACATGCCCTTGTGTGGATATGCCAGATTTTAAGGGACCAATTCCTTTTTCTTGGGCTTTCCACTGTTTTCTTTTTTCTTTTCTTTTCTTCCTTCCTTCCTTTCTTTCCCTTCCTTCCTTCCTTTTCTTTCTTTCCTTTCTTTCCTTTCCTTTTCTTTCTTTCTTTTTTTTGTATTATAACACAGTGCAGTGACAAATTATCTTTGTACACATATCTTTGCACAACCGTGATTATTTTCTTAGGATAAATTCCAGAAAGTGGAATTGCTTGGTCCAAGGCTGGACACATTTTTAACACTGCCTCTTTTCAAATTACATCAGCAGTACACATAGCTACACAATTCCCCACATCCATTTTTTACTGAGTGTTTTCACTCTCCAAAATCTGGACTGTGATTTAACACAGAATCAGAGAATCCCTATGCAGGAAACATCCTGTATTTCTCTAGATCTAGACCCAAACCATCCTTGCTTTAAAAAAGAAAAAATGCCCAGGACACCCTGACTTCAGCAGGTCTGGCAGAAGAGCAAGGGGTGAAGGAGAGAGGCCTGGAGAGAAGTCGGGAATGCAGAGCAGGAGGGCCAGGCTATGGGCGCAGCCAACTGGCTTGGGGGAGGTTGCCCTGTTTTCCCAAAGGATGCACAGTCTTCTTGGGTCTAAAGACCCTGCAGCCACCGCTGATGATCCACTGCTGAATACTGAGCTGTCCTCACTGTCCCAGTGCCCACACTCTATCCAGGAAGTCAAGACGAGTCCTCTGGACCTTCACTTCATCCAGGTGCCAACCCTTTCAACACCCTGGTCTTCCTTGAATACCTTTCAAGGCCTTGTAAGTTGGGAAGTCCCAAACTAGACACAGTCTTATTGTTCTCTTACGTTGATGCTGTCTTCCTCCAACAGGCTGTAAATTTTGGCACCTGGAGAAGAAAAGGAAAGTAAGTGATTGAGACAGAGCCCTGAGGGCAGGCCTTGGGGCAAAAAAAGAGGCCTGGATGGAAGTTAAGTGGGGACCCTCTCATCTGTGGTGAGTTCTTCAGAAGCCACCGAGGTGTGAGCTGGTGGCATGCTGGCCCATGTCAGATGCGGGCACTATGACTTCCACACACGGACATTCTCCACTGGGGGCATTTCTTTCTCACTCGGTCTATTCATGCTCCTATGCTGGCAGTAACCCCAGGGCTCTTTCCACCATGTCTCAAGGTCTTTTTTTTTTTTTTTTAAGATTTTATTTATTTATTGAGAGAGAGAGAGAGTACAAGCAGGGAGAGTGGAAGAGGGAGAAGCAGGCTCCCCGCAGAGCAGGGAGCCCGATGTGGGGCTCGATCCCAGGACCCCGGGATCGTGACCTGAGCCGAAGGCAGATGCTTAACTGACTGAGCCACCCAGGTGCCCCCATGTCTCAAGGTCTTTTGTAAACAGTAGATCATCCTTTCATGTATTTTGAGTCATAGAGCCATTCGCCAGGTATTTACTGAACACCAACTACATGCCAGGCACTGTCCACAGGCTCTGGAGATACAGCAGTAGACAAAAGAGACAAAAACCCTGCCCTCATGGAGCTTGCATTCTACAAGGGGAGACCAACAATCAGAGAAAGAAAAACATACAATATATAGGAGTCAGAAGAGGAAAGTGTTCTGGAGGAAGAAACAAACAGGAGACAGGGGAAGGGAGTGTTGGAGCAGGTGGGCAGGAGTACCAAAATTCTAAATAGTATAGCCAGGGAAAGTGAATTATGAACAAAGACCTGAAAGAAATGAGGGCGTGAACCCTGACATTTAATGGGGAAGAAACTGTCCAGGTGGAGGGAACAGCACGTGCAAAGTCCCAGAGGTGAGAGAGGCTGCCTGACGTGGTAAAGATCACTGGGGAGGGTGGTGTGGCCAGAGCAGAGTGAGTGAAGGGGACGTAAGAGAGGGGATGAGAGAGGCAGTGAGGTTCTGAGCATGCATGGCACCAAAAGAAGACCCTTGTATGAACTTGAGCTTTGACTCAGATGGAAGCCACTAGAGAGTTTTACACAGAAAAGTGGTACGATGTGACTCACATCTTAACAATATCACTCTATGGGCGCCTGGGTGGCTCAGCTGGTTAAGCATCTGACTCTTGATTTCGGCTCAGGTCATGATCTCAGGGTCGTGAGATCCATCCCTGTGTCAGGTTCCACGCTGGGCATGGAGCCTGTTTAAGATTCTCTCTCTCCCTCTCCCTCTGCCCCTCCCCCACCTCTTAAAAAAAAACAGTATCACTCAGACGCTTTGTTGAGAATAAATTGGGGAGCACAGGTAGAACCAGTTAGGAGGCTACTGCAGAAATTCTGGCAAGAGATGACAGTGGCTTGGACTAGTGAGGCAGCACAGAGGTATTAATATATGGTCAGATTCTAGAAAGTAGAGCCAACCGGATTCACTGATAGAAGTGGATTTGAAATAAATAATTCAAACAGGACTCTGAGATTTTTGGCTTGAGCCAATAGGAGACTAGAATTGCCACTATCTGGCTTGCATTATCTCCATGCTGATGGAGCATGTTTGGGGGGAAGATAAGGAACTTACTTTTGGACATGTTAAGTAGGAGATGCCTTTTAGACACTCAGCTGGAGAGGCCTGTAGGCAGGTGGATATATGAGTTCAGGGGAGAGGTCCAGGCTAGACATGAAGATTTGCAAGTGCTCAGCATGTAGCTCTTTAAAGCAATGACAAGGGATGAGGTCACCAAGGGGGTGACTGTCAATAGGGAAACTGCCTAAGGACTGAGAGACAGTAAAGGAGACTGAGAAGGAGTAGCAAGTACAACAGGAGGGAAACCAGGAGAAAGGGTTTCAAGGAGGATGGAGCAATCCACTGTGATAGGTCAAGTCGTGTGAGAACACAGAATTAATCACCGAATTTGGCATCTTAGAGTCCCGGGTGATCTTGGTCAAGGGCAGATTCAGTGGAAGGGTTGGGATGACAACCTGACTGCAACAGGTTCAAAAGAGAAGAGCTGAAGGCATCAGCCTGGCGGCAGAGTGAGCCCTGGGAGCGAAGCGGGAAGGGATGATCAGATTAACTGCTTCTACCTGCACTTCCCTCCTGTATAAAACGTGGCGCACCAAGCTGACATCTCCACAGCCCGCGTCAGTGGCAGCCGTGGTTACCAAGCCGGACCTGGGTCTGCAGGTTGCTGAGCTTCAGCCAGCGTCTGGCCCCGTGAGCCAGCTATCTGCCCATTTCTAGACTTCCATGAAGGAGTTCCCATTTTCTCACTGGCTCCTGTCGCTTTAGGATCAATGCCCAGAGCCTGGGGCAGCTGAGTATGTCCTCTGCTGCTTGCAGACCAAGATCTCACTCGGGCCCCTTCTCCCGATGGGAAGTCAGAGGGAACAGGATAGGCAATGGAGCCTGCCTCGTGGAGGAGGTGATCGCCAAGAGACAGATGCCGACAAAGGAAGCGAAGACGAGGAGATGGGGTGGGAGGGGGAGAAAAGTGTGGGAGGGGCCTCCTTCGGCCAGGCTGTGGGGTCAGGTGGGCTGTCTGGGAGCCGGTGCCCGGGCTAGTTCTCCACACGCCGGCCCCTGCCCCATCACTCTCGGGCTTCCAAGTCTCCCAGAGCTGGCCGGGGCCTGCGGTCATCTAAGTACAGTGCCAAAAGGACACATTCTCTTCCTCTTCTCTCTTTAATATATACCGTGGGATTCTCTCTCCGTGATTACAAGAAACATGCATTTTCACTGAAGGAATTGGAAAATATTGAAAAGAGGAGGAAAAAAAAATCATTTACAATTCTACTACCCAGAGGCGACTACTGCTCACACTTGGTATGCATCCTTGTAGACATTTTTCTATGCATATATACACAGAGTTTTTAAAAATGAGATCGGGTTGGGGCGCCTGGGTGGCTCAGTCAGTTGAGCGTCGACTCTTGATTTCAGCTCAGGTCATGATCTCGGGGTCAAGATCCAGCGTCAGGGGGGTTGGAGTCGAGTGGGGCTCTGCCCTCAGTGCGGAGTCTGCTTCTCTCCCTCTACCCCTCCCCACACTCACATGCACGCTCTCGCTCTCTCTCTCTTTCTCTCACTCTCTCAAATAAATATATCTTGAAAAAAACGAGATTGGGTTGTCCATTCTGTTCTGTGTACACTGTTTTAGTCATGAATTTTGACTGAACCTATCATAAGCACTCTTCTGATGCCGTTTAATTTTCGTCCACGTGATGATTTTAATGACCCACAGTATTCTACTGAATGCATACTTTTACCATACTTTATGTAAACCCCAAACATTGGCCATTTAGATTGTTTCCAAGGGACTGCCACTAGGAGTAAATGCAATAATAAACAATCCTGCATCTTTTCTTCTTAGTGGGGTAGGTTTGCAAATCCCTGATTGTTTTCTTGGGGTCGAGGAAACCGTCGCTGCCCAGTGGGAGTGCCTCGGGTCTCATGGCATCAAGAAGCAGTCTGAAGCTGAGGACAGAGGAAGAGCAGAGCTGAGCCTTGTACCAAGGAGCCGGAGTTCACTCGGATGCCAGAGGCTGATTTTATCCTTAGATATACCCTGGTCCTGAGTTTTCCTCCCTTGAGGACCTAAACAATAGGAAAACAATAGGCCCCTCTCTTAAACCCAGTGAAATCCAAAGGGATTCCCCACCTGAGCCAGGAAGAGGGCGTCTCCCTCTGACAGGAGCATAAAGAGCACCTCCATCTTCCCTTGAAATCTCCCTGGGGAAGCTCCCCCTTTCCATCCCTTCCTGGGGAAAATATCCAAGTGGTCAGGCATTCAGCCTTTTGGGGGGCAGGGCTGCCAGGGAGGGTTGGGGACACAGAGGGTTCTACAGAAATAGCAACTCCTCTCCTCTCTCTGACCCAGCCTTGCTCCAGAATCCCCGAATTCCCCAGAAGGGCTGGCAGGGGCAGTCTGTGCCCCACATGAGAGGAGTGTCCTGGGGAGCAGGGAGTTCTGGGGTGAGGTGGGAAAAGCACAAGCCCAGGAGGCCACCAGACCTGGGTTTGAGTCCCAGCTCTGGCACATTCCAGTCCCATTTTGGGCAAGTGAATTCACCTATGGAATGCAAGCTCCAGAAGCAGGGAACTTGGGTCTGTTCTGTGTACTGTTATATTTGCAACACTTAACATGTAGTAGATGCTCAATTAATACTATGCCAAGGCAGTGCATGATCCTTTCTGACCCTCAGTTTGCTTATCTATAAAATGAGGATGATTAAACCTATCTCATAGGCTCGTTGTGAGGACTAAAGAAAACATGGGTAAAATATTTATTTTTATTTATTTATTTAAAAAAAATTTTTTTAAATTTATTTATTCATGAAAGTCAGAGAGAGAGAGAGAGAGGCAGAGGCAGAGGGAGAGAAGCAGGCTCCCCGCCTAGCAGGGAGCCCGATGCGGGACTCGATCCCCGGACCCTGGGATCATGACCTGAGCCGAAGGCAGACGCTTAACCATCTGAGCCACCCAGGTGCCCCATGGGTAAAATATTTAACATAGATAGTGTCTGGTGTTCAACAAGCACCAGTCCAAAGCCCTGGAAAGTTGCTTCCATGCTCCCAACCCCATGGCAGCTCTACAGATTCCCATTATTAGATAGAACTCGTTTGCCTCCACTCTGCTCACTATTTGCACCCCAAACAAGCCTCCTGGCTGGTACAGATCATACAGTGTGTGTGCTTGTCCACCTCCCTTGTTAGGCTTCAAGGCAGTTTAAGGACAAGAATTTTGCTTCTGTATCCTCTGTGCCTCTGAACAATACTATGAAGTAAGCAAGGTCATTATCACCATTCTACAGATTTATCAAGGAAGCTGAGGTTCAGAAAGGTTAGGTGCTTTGCCCTAGTCACAGACCAAGGGAGTCACAGAGCAAGATCTAAATCTGCTTCCCATTTCTGGGTCCCTGCTCTCTTGTAGGTGATTCTCTTGCA